GTAGATTGATGCTTTAACGTTGCATTTCATATCATACTTATAATTTTTGATATTTAGTGATGAAAAAATTACTTAAAATGAAAAATACTAAACTAAGAGTAACTTAAAAATCGCCCCCCGTATTTTAGGACCGAAAAGTATAAAAACTGAGCCGAGCGCGGAGGGTTAAACATTAAAGAGTCCTATATAAAATTTTGATGAAGTTGCGGCCCGCCATTTGAATGGTGTTTTTAATTGCGGCCCCCGGCCTTATGTAAGTTGGAAACCCCTGATCTAAAGTTATTATCAATAAAAACCTTGTGACCCATTATCTGCTAAGAATCGACATCATTTAAACTTTTAGATTCCAGTAGAATCATCTAAAATTTAGTCATGAAAAAAGTCTCATTCTAATAAATATAAATTATGTTCTATTAGGGTGACCGGAAAGTAATATCGTTTCGGCGCATTAAATATTCGTTAGTCTTAAAAACCATTTCCTTTTTTTCGTCCCAATTCCATTTATTTTCGATCTGGCATTGAAAGGTAATAGCTAACGAGGGTGAATACTTTATTGATTAAAAATAAAAATCTTGATAACAAATATCAAATGCACCGAAACGACATTACTTTTCGGTCCCCCCCAATACATGAGTGAAACTCATTTACTGTTGCTTTTCAGCTATTTCCATGAGGATAAAAAAAAAATTAAAATTACATTCGATTTTTTTATCAAGTTTATCAGGGTTAAATTTGATGCATCGATATTTTGAGTATTTCCGAAAAATTACTGTTCATTTGCTTTGAAGAAGACGATTTTTGTGTATGGACTAAAAGCTTTTTTCTTTCTTTTTTTTTTTTTTTTTTTTTTGAAGTNTTTTTTTTTTTTTTTTTTTTTTTTTTTTTTTTTTTTTTTCAATTTTAAGATCTTTTTTCGTGATTTTTTTTTTTAAACTTTCTTCTTTATTCAAATTATGATTGTTCATCCATTGTTGTAAAAATAATTATTTATTTCTCTCAAGATAATTTTTTATGCTCATGCTTGACATATCGTCAAACGTAACAAAAAAAAATGAATTAATGAAATAAAAAAATAAGAGTCAAATTTGAATCTAAACACTTATATTCACTCTCAGTCTTTTAGAACAGTAAAAAAGAAAAATAGAATTTAAAAAATTTTATGTCATATTTGATGACCTATTCACCCAGGTAGATAACCCCAATGGAAGAAACAATCTAAAAGAAATGTTAGAAAAATAACCCAAATTTGAACTTAGGCTCTTAGGCACTCCTACATCAATTTTTTCAAAAGTTACTATTAAAGCTGAAATGTCAAAAAACAAAACCGAAACTCATTTTTTTTATATATAATTTAATATTTCTTCCACAGAATTTCTACTGCAATTGTATAATGTATGCGCATGATAAAAAAAAAAAGCTAAGAGTAGCTTTAAGTTATCAAAGAAAGCACTTAACTTAATCATTTCAGGTAACATATTTTATATAATTACATATCCTAAAGAAAGTTATAAAATTAAATTTAGCTAAATTATTAGAAAGCCATAATTTCCGAGCAGCTTAGTAAGATGAAAATTAACTAAAATAAAATTACTTAACCTGTACTATTCTTAGAGGAATAACTATAAAGGATATTTTCATCTTGAAACTTTTAAAAGATCATTTAATAAATTCATTTTACAAAAATTGAAGTAGGACATTTTAGATAAAATTTAGTTTAAATTGATAACTGAAACCTTGTGTACTTTAAAAAAAATCACATCAACTGAACACACAAAAATCACACAAACTGAATTTAAAAAGTAAAAGTAAGGTAAAAGTATTCCTGCATTCCCGCAAAAAGCATTCCCGTAAAAGCGTGATGTCGGTCAAGGGTTCGATCCTAGTGTCAAGGAGGGTCGGGACATCAATTTTGAGATTAAAGACTTGATAATAGCAATGCTAACTTCATTTAGTACCGGCCGCCTTTACCTCTCAGGCATCTGGTACTCGTTGATCGGAAGCTTGTTGGGCTGCACTGCAAATAATTTTAAGCTGGGTGGGTCATCACAGAGATAGAACACCAGTCTTCAACATTGACTGTTTAGTGTCTTAACCACTGTGCCTTCGAATACTATGCATACAGTGTACAATAATAAGAAAAAATTTTAAAAATTATGAAGTTAAGTGAACTTTTTTTTAACTTTTTAATAAGTAATTATAAATAATTATTTTTTTTCTTTTGAATTATCTTTAGATTAGTAAATTATATCCTCGTGTGCAAAGTTTTTTTTTCCTTTTTTTTTTTTACATTTGCTTTTTTTTACGTTGATTGAGTGAAAATCCGATCAAAAATTAATCAAGAGATGTTTTTTTTTTTTTTTTTTTGANTTTTTTTTTTTTTTTTTGGTTCTGTAACTATGTAAATTTGGAAAACTTATGTAGTCCATTAGTTTAATATCCTCTCACATTCCTCCCTGCAAATATAACAAATTAAAAATTATGTTTTATTTTTATGTGTAATAATTTTTTTTAATAATTATAAAAACTTGCTTGTTATGTGTCCTAACGAATCTAGTCAGAAGCATTTACTGACTGCGAGAGTTGGATTTTTAAATTTACTGCTGTAATTGACTTAATTTTTTCCCCTTTCAGCGAACTTCGAAGATAAAAAAAAGGAAGTAAAAAAAAGGATCTATTTAAACGAAAATTTAAAAATTAAAAATTTATTGTACGCTAAAGCCAACTGTTTCTTTTGAACGCAATTTATTTTAATTACTTTAAGGAATTTAAATAAAGTATGATTTTTAAAAAAAATTTCATGTTTTAAAATTAAAATTATACTAAGAATTTTAATGTTGAGAAAGATTGTTTGTGAATTGATTGATTTAATTAAAGAATTGAATTAGTTAAAATTTCTGATGAACACAAGTAAAATTATTTTTGGAAAAAAAATTACGAATAATTTTTAAATATTTAAATAAATTTTCTCCTGACCGTTATTTATAATATAAAAGTTAATTCTAACTTTGTTACCTTTCAAGATTTAAAAATATAAAAAAATTGAAAAAATATTTAAAAAAATAGCAAAAAAATCTTCCACAAAAGGAAAATTTTAAGTTTCATTCTTATACAGTGGTGGTGCCATCTATTAGTGCAAACAGAAAATGTTTTGCAGTAAGTAAATATTTTAAGTAGTATTAACTTTTTTACTTTTATATATATAATATTTCAGTGCACTCTTGAAAACAATTCTTTGTCGGTTTTATTTACACATATTGTTTTATTTAACTAGAGATAACTCAGAAATTCAAATACAATTTAACAAGAGATAAGGAATTTAAATAAAAATGTTGATAAGCCACTTTATTAATTCAAAATTTAATTTTGAAAATTCATTTATTCGATTCTCATTATTTTCTACTATTTTTTTAGGGAGGAGGGAAAGAGAAAGTTATGTTTATTCGAACTATGCTCTTAAATATTTACGTTCCTATTATAATTATTTAATTTTAAACATTTAAATTAAATTTGTTGCTCAAGATCTAAAAAAGATTTTTTCAAGCGAATCTATTTCTTTTAACTCCGAATATCTGTACAGAATTTATCAAAACTTATTTTCTCCAAAATTTATTAACTATTTCAGTTAAATACATTAACTATTCAGTTGGCATATTTTTACTAATTCCAAACAAAAGTAAAATTAAGAAAAAAATTAGTAATTTATTTCTTCAGTGTATTGCGCATAGTTTCTGTTCATCATTTTGCGAAAAAGGGCTCGTAAAAGAAATGTTAATAATTTTAATAAATAATTTTAATAAATAATTTTAATAAATAATTTTAATAAATAATTTTAATATATAATTTTGATATATAGTTTTAATATATAATTTTAGTATGTAATTTTAATGTATAATTTTAATAAATAATAATTTTGATATATATTTAAAATCAGACATTTTCTGACGTATTTAGTTGGAATTCATTAGTAATTAAAACCCGTGAACCCCCATATGATCATAAAGGGTAAAAATTGTAACTTAAAGTTTACATTTATAATATAATATAATANAATATGATTTAATATAATATAATATAATATAATAAAAAAGTTATAATTTAATTAATGTTCAATTATCTTAATAACTGAACCAAAACTGTTACTGGCCTTTTTTTTTAAGTAAATAAAAATTTAACTAATTTTTCGTTTCTTACATTTTAAAAAATAAAGAAATTGTGTTTAAAAAAATCAAGTCATAAAAATAATTATTTTATTGATTGTTATTATTTATTCAATTTTTCTTTTACTCTAATTCCTTTTTTCTTGCCTGATTGCATTATGAAAAAAATAGATTTAACCTTGTAAGAGGGTATATCTATCTCAGTTTCTGCTTACGAAACCACGAGATTAGTTTACCTACCAATATAGAGAAATTTCTCTAATTGTCAACCACGGAAAAAAAATGTAAATGCATACGGAAATTTTTCTATAGTAAAGAATTTATGATTTCCAAAACGGTATTCTTTGGTTTTGCTACGAATACTTTAAATTAATTTACCTAAATTTTTATTTTTAAATTTGCTTAAACATTATAATTTATGCTTCCTGAAATACTTCGATTCAAATATTTACCCGTTAAATTTTTTATTTCATATTAAAAGTAGTCATAATTATTTTATTTGGCTTTGTGGTCAAATGGATGCCCTCTGCCAGCAGCTGCCCCTTTCGCTTACACTTTACTCGCCACTGTGTGATGACGACATGTCGGTAGTTTTTGCCCGGTCAAGAAAAATATTTAAAATCCAACAATAAAAACAATTTGCATTGTAACTATCAAAAACTTTGCCAGAAAACCTATAAAATGATTTGTAACAACTAAGTCTTGTTGTGCAGAATTCTATTCCAATTATTATTTGTAAACAAGCTCTACACAAAATAAAAACATTCTATTTATTACTATTTTCACTCATTATTATTATTATTATTATTATTATTATTATTATTATTATTATTATTATTCCAGATAATGTGCAGTGTGGGAAACCTTTAGGCAGGAAACCAAAAATTGTAGGAGGAGAGAACGCCGAAAAGGGAGAGTTTCCATTTCTAGTGAGTGGTGAGCTAAAATTCAATTCATTCCTCTCTAATAAAGCCTTCAAAGATCATTTTCAAACAAAAGTAAATTATTGAAAATACAAATTTGAATTTCGTGATAAAAGGTGCACAAAAAATGTATTTATGCCAAGGGCCCAATCTAATCATAGTCATGCCCTGCTAAGTAAATTTCGAATGAAAAGTATGGTGAGGCAGCGCATTAGCAACAGCGAATGATGAATAAAGCGAGAGTAGAGTTCGAATAACCCCACAAAAGCACACGTACTATAATTTCGTTCTGTTAACAAAAAATCCCCTCAGTTCTGAAACACAAAATGACAGGAAAAATGGGGATAAACAAGTTGAAACAAGGAAAAAAGGGGTTTAAAAAAGTAGGGAAAGATGAATAAGCTTGAACTAGATAAGCAAACAAATGAAAAGAGATAAGAAACAATTGTGTGTGTGTGCATGGAGTAGAATTAAAGCCCCAGGTATGTAAGGTCGATATTAAATTAAAATATATTTTCAAACATTGGGAAAGAATGGGATCCTACGTCATCATTAATTAAATTACAATATTTGTTTTTTAGATGTGAAATACTTCCCAGGTATCAAGGTCTGCTGCTAAAGAGCTGTGTTGAATAATTTTAGAAAAAAAACTGAAACTTAGGATTACAATTCCAGTTATGTTGTTTAATATCCTGATTTCGAACATATCTCTCATGTTCCTTAAGTCGAAGTTTAAGTGTACGTTTAGTACACTAGTTTAGAATAAATTAGTTCTGCACTACGATTGGGTTTTATTTAGTTACTTTATTTTACTTTACTTTACTTTACTTTACTTTACTTTACTTTACTTTACTTTACTTTACTTTACTTTAACTTTACTTTAACTTTACTTTAACTTTACTTTAAACTTTACTTTAAACTTTAACTTTACTTCAAACTTTAGCTTTACTTTAACTTTTACAGACTGTCCCCTGATTGGGCATAGCTTCAAAAGGTAATCCAAATAATAAATACAAAAATATCCTCTGAATTACAGGGAAGAATATAATGAGTTATAATTACTTCTTTCAACTCTGTTTATTTATAGAAACATAATTTGACAAACAAGATTATTTAATATTATAATATTATGAAATATTATATTATTTCAATGAAATATGGCGTTTGGAACTCAGTTATAAATTGAAAAGATGCAAAGTATTTTACAACCACTCACAAATGAAATGAATAAGATTTCGCAAAATTTTTATGATGTTAAGAGAGGGATGCTTCGATTCAGGAAGAAAAAAAAACATATCAGGTTTTATATCAGAGGTCGAAGTCTAATTTAACTAAACAAAGCAGAAAAATATATTGTTATATATTATATGGTTACATAAAAATGAGTTTATATTATATTCAAACCAAATAAACTAAACAACGAAAGTAACGGTTCCATATTGCATTTAGTGATCATAATACTTCATTTCACGCGTATTTTAAACAAACTTTCGAATTCATAGTGTAGAAAATTATTTAATTTTTAAGTTTTCTTTTTTGTAAATGTTTGAATACATCAAAATGTATCTTTAATTTGGGTGAAGGGAAAAAATAAACTAAAGAGTGTAGAAAGTTTCCATAGTCTATGTATCTTCTTACAGGTTGTATAATAAAAGAAAATCACATATATATACACAATCACATATACATACACTAACCTACAATAATAGAAGAGACACTTTTTGAAATTTTTTTGAATTTCTCAAGATATACTTAGAAAATTATTTTGTTACTTCAGATGTAATTAGTTCGTGCGATTTTTTATACTTAGCAATACTCCTATGGTGTCAGAAGTTTCAGGGACCGACAATAAATTACGAAACAAGACAAGTGTTTTTGATCACCCTATGACAGAAAATCAAGCAATAAGTTAGTAACTTATACCGATTACTTTGGTTGTTATTTTCAATAGCTGCATAAAATTTCATAAATCTAGCTTAAATATTTAAGGAAATGTGGACATTTTTATTTAAATAAAAAAAATTGTCCTACTTTTTTTTTACCATAACTTTAAAAATAATCAATAAAATTTTTTAAAAACATTTTAGCACTTAAAAAATAATTCAACATTTCTTTTTTCTAAAACTTGAAATAAATTATTTAAAAACTGAGCACGATATGAATATTTAAAGTAGTTCTTTTATACTGCGCATGAGCGAAAAAAGTCATTTTTGTAATTTGTAGTGAATCGTAGTTAGCAACTAAGGAAAAAAAAAATCTGGTTTGAGTATCTTAAAAGTTTAAAGAGTTTCAAGCAATTTTCTATGTAATTTTTGTATTTAAAAAAAAAAGGCTTAGGATTTAAAAAAAGGATAAGGTGATAATGGGTTTTCCAAAAATTTTATTTTACACTATTATACAAGATCAATTCGGCATTGTGGGGTTTCATCCCCCATAAAAAAAGAATTTCTTTCACCTATTTTCATTCCTTGCACAATCACAGTCTGGTGTCCGGATGATTATTGCTAGGTAATATTAGGCTATTATTTCATTTATTATAATTATTTCTTGAGATTCATAAAGTATTTCGTGAGAAATTTTTTAAAAAATTCAAAAACTGAAACTGTATATACATATATATATATATAATATTCTCTTTAAAAATGTATTTTTTTCCTTGTTTTCTTTGTATTTTTAACTTACTTTATGGGTTTTATGTACTTGCTGCTTATGCACAGTAAATCTAACGTATTATAACGTATTATTATTTCTTCTTTATTTTCCTTAACTCTTTTTTGTATTTTATTGTGTTATGTATAGTATGTGTTGTGTATATGTAGAGTAATGATGTTCGTATAGGTGTCATTGAGGGGCCCTGAAGAACCTCGAGCTTCAAATGTTCTTCACAAGTGTGGAGCAGTTCTTCTTAGCGAAAGGTGGCTTCTAACTGCCGCTCACTGTGTTTTTGAGTGAGTTTTTATTTATTATATTTTAAGCTTGTTATATTGGTAAGTTGTTTGTTATATTGGTAAATAAATGTTCTCTCTAGAAGAACAGATTTCTCACATCAACACATCTAGCGTTTGAATAGCGGAGTCAAACAGGAAATATCTAGAGGTGGATCGTAACAGGTACTTTTAAGTAGCATGTTACGATATAAATCAATAACTCTAGAATATCTGTTCCAGAGAGACAAATCTTGATTTTGGTTAATTTCATCAATTGCTTGTTCTTTTTCTGAACCAGAATTCTTGTATTATCAGATATATGAATTTCGGAGCAGCTGTAACATAGTCGATCTTCGTCTATAATGGAATGGATTGCCTTTACTAGCACTTTATATTTTCTGAAATGCAACCAAGTTATAGATCCTCTCAAAACACTTTCATTGTCTAATATTTAACCTAGTAACATATACTCTAAGGGTTTTTTTTTAATTGATTGAACTGTATTAGAATATCACAACTAATAACGGCTGAAAAAGCGAAACGTCTTAAAAAACAAAAAATTACATTCATTAAAATTCTTTTTAACTTTCTTATTTCGTTAGTTTTTACTCAGAGCTGCTTAAGCATTAGTTAAAGACAGCTCCAAAAGAATTAAAAGTAGATGGAAAAAAATCTTATTTGAATCTTATAATTTTATGAATCTTATGATCTTATTTATGAATTTATTTTTGAATGATATGATCTTATAATAATCTTTCAGCTCATATTTTAAAGCAGATCCTTAAAAATTTTATGAATCTTTACTATTAGTGTGTATTTTTACTTAATTGATAATCGAATGTATACTTCAATGATTTAGGTACTGCAAGATGCTACGAACATAAATTAAAACTGGTGCAAGATAATAAACTCTATTTGTAAAATTAATAGTGAGGTATTCTTTCGAAATCATAACTTTAAATGTTAATACCTTTGCTTAAATTAATCTGAATATCTTAAAAAAAATTATTTGAAAATGCGTATATTACGACCATTGATATTTTATATAATGGTAGGTCAGTTTAGTATTTAATTGGATCCTCATCTGTTTCCTAGATTAAGGCTTGGATTCAACACAGTATGGCTTCAATGATATTTCTTTTATTCATAATTTATTTATGTTGATATAAAAATGAGTGTAAGGAAAAATTCTCTATAGCTATATGTACTAAGCCAAAACAAAGCCATGCTTTAAAAACCATATTTACTATATTACCAACGCAACTGTTAATTTTATCTAAAACTTATATGCGCTTATATGAGACAGATATTATATAAAACAGCAAGATATCAATATATGCAAATATTGTTCTAAATTCTAGAACGCATATTCTGCCTCTATTGTAAAATTACATCGCTGTACTTTCTAAACATGCACACAAACCTTTTAAAAATAATTCATGATTTCTTAGACTATTATTGTTTTTAACAAATGTAAAACACGGATTTACAACTTTTAATTTGATGGAAAAAGACAAATTATTATAATAATTTTGCCAGTAGTGCTCTATTGTAAGTTAAATTTTTTCGATTAATACTTTTTTTTTTTATTGTTGTCAAAGCATATCTTGTTAAGCAGATTTTTATGTGAATGCATTTAATTTTTTGCCAACAAGAATCTTTAATTTATGAATGTCTTTTTTTTTTTTTTTTTTTTCTTAAATATAAACGGTAATTTTTTCAACTTCTTCTACAAAAAATAGGTATTTTTTCTCACTAATTTCGATTAGATTATAATCAATTACTTTTTTTAAAATGTTTACATTAAAATCTACCAGATACCGGAGGAAAAAATATCTTCCACGTTTAAGAGTTCGTTTAGGAGAATATGATGTCTCATCTAGTACTACCACAGATCGTCAAGATTTAGGAGTAGAGGAACTTATTGCCCATCCTCAATATCAAGAACCATATCGCCAGAGCAATGACATAGCACTCCTACGACTCAACAAGCCAGCCATCTTGAGTGAAAACGTTTGGCCAGCATGTTTACCAGACGCCGGAATGCAAATACTGGGGCTAAATGCTACAGTTGCAGGATGGGGCCAAGCCTCGTTCTCAGGTAAGAATCAAATGATTAAGATAACAAATTATTTTTTTTTATTTTTTTTTTTATTGGCGAGATCGGATTGATTCTTTTGTTGCATGCCACACGGTCATGTGCTAAGGTTCTGCTAAAGCTTTGTAAAGAATTTAGACTAATGTACCAATTATGTACCTTGAGTGCGTCAAAAAGTCGTGTTTTTAAAATTGGATTTCTCAGGATCTATAGGACCGATTACGCTCAGATTTTGTATTTTGCCATGAAAATTGCCTTTTTTGAAATAATTTTAAGAAATTGCACACCTTGCAATTCAAAATTTTTTCGACTATTAATAAATCAAACAATAAAAAAATAATAAATGTTTACTAAAAGATATTTTTGCATAAACGAATTTTATAATTTTGCACAAAAATTTTTCATTTCTCTTAAAAAGTTCTCAAAATATGGTAAAATACGATAAAATTTACATTAAGTGGTCCAAACTTATTCGAACGGTATGCTTATTCGAAGAAAGTACGTTTTAGTGTCTGGTTTAGTAACTTGAAATATCATCTGCACTAATTAATTAGCATATTTGAGATCATTCCCTTGAACCATTAAGATTGAGTGCTAGAACGTGAGGTTTCGATCATTAGATCAAAAGATATTCAGGGTGGTCCGTTTATTTATCTATTCATATATTTATTTTATTTTATTTTTAGTTTATTTATTTATTTATTTATTTTGCTCACTGCATGTAATATTTACTCATGGAACTAATGTAAAATAATGTTTAAACAAATATGCAAAAAGACAGGAAAATAAAGTTCTACGAAAGATATATTAAATCACAGAAAGTTTTTTTTTTTTTTTTTTTTTTTTGAGACGGAGTCTCGCTCTGTCGCCCANTTTTTTTTTTTTTTTTTAAAAATAATAATAAAAATGGCAAAACGATAGATACGTTTATTTCTGTATGAATGAGTAGGCGCGAGGGATAAAAATTGATTCAGTGAAATTTTTTATTATTTATTAAATTAACTACTGCCGTACTATTTTTGTAAAAGTATAGTGACAGGAAAATTTGATAATAACAATCACCTTGTTTATCCATTAAAACAATTTATTTTAGTTTTTAAAATGTTTTATACTAAGTGCCATATAATTTTAATAAAACCGTTCAAAGTCAATGAAAAGACAAATCAGAAAAAATGCATCAATATTATTAAGTTAATTTGAATCCTCAGTATCCTCAACATATGATTACGATAAAAATATTTTTCTTTCTAATATATAAAAATATTTTCAAAAACATTACATTCCTAGGACCTGCCGGTGAGAAGACCATTTTGCAGAAAATAGTAGTGCCAGTCATGTCCAATGGAGCTTGTTTGCAAATGTATTTTGAGGCAGGACATACCTATCCTTTAGAAGACAACCAGATGTGTGCAGGCTATAGGGAGGGTGGCAAAGACTCCTGCCAGGTAATTGGTTTCCATTACACAAATTTATCGAAGAGTCCTAATAAACTTTGGCGAAACAACTTGGGAAAATAATTTGCCTTTTAAAATTGATCACATAAATCACGCATCTAAAGAATTGCCTCAGCTTTAGTGACGCAACCCAAGTCAAAAATTTTGATGGTTTTTCATTGATGAACCAACATAATCTTGATGCTAACCATTAATAATTCCATCACGAACCATTATATATTTGCTGATAACCAACATAAGTAACCATCACCCCCAATTTATGAATTCGGACTGATTTATGATGATCGTATATTTAAAAATAAACCAAATATTTTTTATTATATACTCCTGAGAACCAAAAAGAATTCCAACTACACCATCATAGAAATGTATATTTGGAACCATCATGGACCATCACGTTGGTCCATGAGAATCAAACTTCTCTTGATGGTTAACCATCATTGCAGTAAAGTGGCATTTTCCATCATGGAATGATGAAAGTTTGTTGGCTTATCAAACACCATGAACGCATAATGGAAAATGTTGAAAAATGGCGACCATCAAATGATGTTGGACCATCATGAATCGCACTGAAATCAACATAAACCATCAAAATATTTTGAGGGAACCATCAAGAATTTTGACTTGGGAATTCATGGTCTCACCGATACAGCAATAAGAATCCTTTACGTATGAAGTAATCATTTAAGACGGGTTCTCAATGAGTGTACCCCATCACTCTGCGTTGCCACGGTCTTATATTTAGCAGCAATCTATTCAATTCAAAAAGAAAAAGTTTCAAGGTAGAGCTGACAGAATTCTGAATGCATATAACGTATTAGTACATATAACGTATTATCATCTCAAAAATAATAGAGCCATGAGAAGCTATGACAGGTATGAAGCAACCATTTGCCGGGTTACTTCACACCTGTGCGAAGCTGGATTTTCCGTATTTGGTGTTTTGAAAAGAAAGTATTTAAACAAAATATCCACACAAAAAATAATAAAAATAAATAAATAAATAAAAATGCAAGTTACTACATCAACTTTTATTCCACAGTTTGAAATGTTATATGATAAGCTGCAAGCTTACCCATTGCACTAAATTAACTCAGATGCAACCGATTGTGTATGGTAATTTTTCTTTATTTATGCTTTTTGTCTATATTTTCTTCTTCATCATTAATACTTATGACATCATGATTAATACCTATTTATTATTAACAACTTATGTGCTTGAATGAATTTTAAGTATGAGTTGTATTAACTATATGTTCCGACAACTTACTTCCATTGCTTTAATTACTTCCATATTTTTACAAATGTGAGACTCACATAAAAAATATCATACCGTAGAGAAATTTCAGATGACTGATGTACCGTGAAACAATTTTAAACCAAGTAAGATCATGCCAGAAGATCATCACTAAGATTACGTTAAGATAACAAAAAAATATTATTAGACTACACTTATTTAAAAAAGTATTCCGTCTACAACCAGAGGAGTCATGGAAGCTAATAGAAGACTCTACCGCGAGAGAAACTCGTTATATTAAATTCTGTTCTACCTCTATAACCAATTTAAATCATAAAAAAGTGAGTTAAGGCAAACCTAAAGTGGTCCATAAAGTTTTTAATACTGAAAAGAAATTTTTAAAATATCGAAATGAAAACAAATTATCAAAAGTTACCCAATTGCGTAATCCTAAGTTATCCTCTCATAATTTGTTTTCATTTGGTTATTTTGAAAATTTCTTTACACTATTAAAAACTTAATAGGCTACTCTAGGTTTGTCTGAACTCACTTTTTGGATACTACTGGAAGCAAAAGAGAATTTGCGATAAAATGTTTCTCCCGTGGTATAGTGTCCTCTTAAGACTCCACAATTTCGTGACTAGGTTTGCCTTTACTTTCTAGACAAGCTGATACCCATCGATCTGTAGCTGGGTGGTCCACTGGGGAAAATACTTATTCACCTTGATAATTTTGACTACATTTACATTTCATTCTAGGAATATCACTCGATTTACTTCTGTAAAATGAAAGTATTAATAAATGATTAATAGATTTACTTATCTAAACAGTTAATTAATAAAAGACAGTAAACTTTAAATCTATGGGTTTTTAATTTCAGGGAGATTCTGGAGGACCTTTATTTGTCAAACACAATAATTTGATCACAGTCATTGGACTCGTATCTGCTGGAATCTATTGTGGAAGTCCACTCCTACCTGGAATCTACACAAGAGTCATTTCACATCTTGATTGGATAAGGCAGAATATTAAAGACTGATTCACACCTACACAATTTCCCATCCTGCTTGGATGAGACAAAATATCAAAGATTGAAATACTTACACACATTTCTTTTTTAATTTATTTATTTAAATGTTGGAAGAAACTTGGTTATTGATTGAAAAGCTTAGTGAAAGAAGATTATAAGAAACTTTAAAAAAAAATAGAAATATCTGGCATAGAAATTATAGTAACAACCTCACGGTGCTTCCGAAAAATAAAATTCTTTGAAAACTACTTTATTTAATGACTTAGCGTGGGGGGAAAAAAAAGAGTTCTATGCATTCAGCTAACCATAAGATGTTTTAAAACCCACAATTCCGCACTTTTCCTGAATATCGCCTAATACTTTCTTTCACTTAGATCTTCACTTGTAAAGACATCAAGATAGTATTAAAAACGATGCTATCTACCGTAAAAATATCGTTCATCATAAAGTATCAAGATCGGATATGGGTTTATTATACCTACCTTTCTGCTATCATTTGTAAGTTCTCATGCTTTGCAGAAAAACCCATGTTATCTACCTTTGTGCTATCATTTGTTAGATATCAATAAAGCAGGCCTGTGTTATCAACCTTCATGTTAGAACTAGCAATGTATCAAGATGGAAGGCAGGCCTGTGCTATCTATCAACCTTCATATTAGAGCTCACAAGGTATCAAGAAGGAAAGCGGGCCCATGTTAACTACTTTCATGTTAGAGCTCACTCTCACAGGGTACCAAGATGGAAAATCAGCCTATGCTTGCTACTTTCATATTAGAACTCATAAGGTATCAAGATGAAAAACGGGCCTATATTAGCTACTTTCATGTTGTAGCTCATAAGATAACAGCCACGCTGGGCGAATAAATATCATTGTGTTTATTTATAAAAATCATTATGAAGAATGATAATCACTAATCATTATCTATTTAAAGTACTCTATTGAATGTTGCTATATATTGATTGTTCATTATTTTCTTATGAATTAGGAATTTAAAAAGCTGCATGCAATTATAAGCTGCGTGCAAATAAATCTTTCACTTAAATACTATACTGAGAGTAAACAAAACAAAGCAAAAATTGATTTTGATTTTTTTTTAAATAAATATAGAAAATAAAAAAAAATTGAGAAATTTGATATGTATATTTGATGTATATTTTCTAACCTGCAACAAAAAGATTCCTTGAATATTTTTCTAGTCATTGATTGGTTATTAATCTTAATATATGAACATCAAAAATATTTTTTATTTAATTTTTCATACGTTTGTTCCTGATTTTTGTGTTCTATTTTTGTAGGATATAACATGCTTTACTCCTTCCTAGTCATGAAAAAAAAATGTCTTGTCATAAAAAGTATAATTTAGATGAAATTTGTGTTACAGATTATGAATAAAATTGTTGTTTTTATAAATTTTTTGTGTTTTTGACATTATATTTCGTCTTAAAATCTGATATTAAAATAAAATAAGCTGGTAATAGCTGAAAAAAAAGTTTGAATGCATTGATCCTCTCTTACAGTTATGAACTAAAGACTAAAGCTTATTATTCTTAAAAGAAATGTATATAAATAAAAGCATTATTTCCTCACAACTGTTTATAATATTATAAAATAAATTATGATCACCGCGAGGCAATCACAGGTTACCCATTTGTATCGTTTTTTCTTTTCTCGCTTAAACTCTTACCTTTAGGACAGTGTCAATCAGTTTGGAACCCTATTTATTAGTGATTTTCACCTGAATTAGTATTCAAAACGATCCAGTATGAACTGTAGATTAGAATTTCGGATTTGTAATTAAATTAATGAAACAAAAATATAATTCAATTGATGAAATTCTCCTTTATTCACAACTCAAGAAGTATTTATGGGACTTTCTGATCCCATATCTCAAAAATAAACTCACCAACTTAATGCATAACAAAATTAAAAGTGAAAAAAAGAATTCTAAAAAAATTATCAAACAGTAGCGGTCGCCATAGCAGCAATGACGACGCATGCGTACTATTTACTATTACTCTTGATCACAATTGAAAAGTGTGATAACGTCTAAATAGAGTGCGCTGGGATAGAGTCCCCTTGCCGTCAGGCTAACCGTGAGAGGTTCTCGTGGTTTTCCTCTCCATGTAACGCAAATGCGGGTTAGTTCCATCAAAACATCCTCCACAAAGGCAAATTTCTCCCAATACTTGATCCAGGAGATCCCATGTCTTCTCGATTGGTTTCAAAATTTCAAGGCAACGGAGTTGAACATTAGTAGTCGTAAACCCAAAAATTGGGTCGCCTGTTCAACGACGGTTATTTAAATAAAGTGCACACGCCATCAAACTCAAAACAAGACCCATTTTGCCAATAGGTAAAAAAAAAAACTATCGAAAGATTGCGACAAATTTATTCCAATGTTATTATTTAATTATTCCAATATTTTTATAGTTATTTTTTTTTAAATTAATTTATTTATTTTTAAAATCCATAGTGTAGAGCAAAACAACTATCGTTTTGTTAATTTAAAAGTTATTTAGAATGTTTTCAGTGGAAAAGCAATTACAGTTTCAACTAACTAAAAACTTAATATGTGACTCTCTTATATACTTTAATTCACCATTATTTGAAATCACTAAATCAAATTCTCTATCACTCAATCACTATCAATTCTCAATCAATTCTATATATAAGACACAACATAAAGAAAACCATGTTCAGATTGCCAACTTTTTTTTATTACTTAATGTTAATTTTTCTTTATTTAAACTGGGACCTCGTCTTAATATGACTTTGAAATTTTTCTAATTTAAGCTTTTTTTAATCTAAAATGTCGTGAGGCAACAACTCTTGATTATTCCTATATTTTAATAGTTTTTTTTTTTCTTTTAACTTAATTTATTTATTTTTAAAAATAAATTATTTTTGTTAATGAAAATATAACTTAATTTTTAGTTTTTTTTTTTTTTTTTTTTAAAGGAAAATGACAAATGCCAAGTCTTTTTGACTCTGTCTTCCGCTTTAAAAGACAGGAAATACAAGCTCAGGGGGAGGGATCCTGTTTCTATGAAGAACGTTGCAAAAATAAAAATAAAAACTGCTGAATCTTTTGAATGTCTAGTACAGTTATTTAGTAATTCTTGAACTTTATTTTGAAACTAAAATGCTGATTAGATTTAACAAACTGATTAGATTTAACAAACTGATTAAAAAACCTTAAGAGCGAGTATCTTAAATAATTTTTTTTTCCAACTCTATTTGTAATTGCAGTAAACTGCAAAAATAATTTAGTTTTGGGTATTATAAACTACGTCGAATGCAAAAATAAAAAGGAATTTAAACAAAATAAAATGAAGGAAGAACTTCTGAGAGCATCGAGGTCATAAACGTCTAGTTAATCTTTAAAAAAAATAATAGTTAAATATAAAAAAGTTAACACCTTAAGGGGCTGTTGTCACTAAGGCTGCTTTACAGATTCAATAGAAACGCTTACATAACTAATTTACAATAAGAAATAACTGCCTTTATTTTTGCTTACATTCATATCATTTCAATGTACTTGGTACTAAAAAATAATTATTTACAATTATTTACACTATTTTGTCCAAGCAAAGGTCATCAAACGATTTTCATAAAACGAGCGACGATCTACATACACAAACGCTATAACGGATATTTCAGGGATACTTAGTGTTACTAAATCCATCTCCTGACCCAATAGTTGCAAATGATTTACCGGAAAAGGGGAGTATTACGAATTTCATTTTCTTTCAAACAAAAAAGAGGCTTTCATTGAGCTCGACTCACTTGTCATCGGCCATCCCGGAAGAAAAGTTGCGACTTCTGCCTAATTGGTGTCGCTGGCCTGTCTGCTAATGACAGGGACATTCTTTGCTCATTAAGCCGTCGCTGGTAGTCAATTATAAATTCTGCTTTTATAATTGGTTGTTAATCAGAAATTTTAATGTGATAGAAAAACTGATTTTTGACGTAAAATCAGTGATTTTATTGCTGTGAAATTATACAAACTTTAAAGACACTCACAAGTGAGTTTGAGCATTTGAGCTTAATCTTAATGAAACAGACATATTAAGTCATGAATAAGAAGCTCAGTCACACAAAAAATTCTTATCGATCTTGGGATTCGAATTGAAATCGTCTGGTTCAAGAAAGCTACACCCTAAAAAAAAGTAACGCAAACTCATACTCAGAAAAACACATTTTAGTATTTTTACTAGAAACTTATATTTTAGCACGATTGAAATATTAAGGAAAGTATCAGCGTCAATCATTTCTTCTAAGAACTAAAATTTCATTAATGTAATATTTGTTGACAGTCTGTTATTATTAGATATTTACTCAGATTTTAATCTGTGCATCAGTAGTTATAAAAATTATCGTTAACTTATTAGTGATAATTTTTATATGTACTATCAAATACTGGACTTTTCAGTTCGTAGTCAGTGACTGGTAGACTAAACTTAATCGCCACTTTTTCCTCAGGCCTAATAAGGGATTTTTTTTTAAAAACACTTCATGTTAAAAATTACCTACATCTATAAAAAGTTGATTCAACGATACAAAATAATATGAATATGTGACAAAATGTTGTTATACATACTAACTTTAAGGAAAAATATTTGAGGTGGTAAAATTAATGTATACATTATAACTTTAAAGTATTTGAATTGTGAAACAATTCTCCTTCCACACGAATATTTCCAATACAAATTGGTGGATTCTGAAGCTCATAATTTAAAATGAAAACATTCATTGGGCAGTTTTAATAAAATTATGTTTTCTAGAATCTTTCTGCATTAATGTGCTTTTTCATTAAATAATTAAAAAAATGAAAGAAAGGTAAAAAAAAGACTAAGTAACAGATTATAAATACTCATAAGGGCGACTTTTGTGCTGAAATACAAAGTAAGGTAAAACAACGTTTAAGAGCACAAAAAATATATTTTTTGTGCTCTTAAACGTTGTTTTACCTTACTTTGTAAGTAACAGAGTGTTTATTTAAGTCGCCGCTTTTTCATGCTGACTCGTCTCAAGGCGAATGAAGAGTGATTATTTTTAATTCTAGCGAATACTATAATACTAATGAACAATTTTTTTGAATAATTTTTACTATGTTTCATAAACCACCTTAACACCTACAGAAGCTGACAAAACTTTAATATCTAATAATAATAAATGAAAATACTAGTTCAGAAAAAAATCTCTTTATCTCGTAAGTCACTATTCAGAATCTAGAACTGACAAGGGTATATTGTTAACGCTTTCTTATCAGAATCCCTTTTCAACAACACTTTCTGGAACTGCTTGACAGAATACAGTTTATGATATATCATCTTCATATCCCCCTCATTCATGTCAACCCTTACTTCCTTTTAAGTAAATACAAATTAGCTACATAGAAAAGGATCACCACTATTCAAAAGTCAAGTAACCCACCTGTATATAATTACTGGGGGGAGGGGTTGTTAAAGTAGTGCCAACTATTCAAAGGATTGAAAAGCTATATCAGCATGGAGCATAACAAAGAAATCTGAGGGGCAAGACTTCATAAAGGATGAAAAATATTGCTCAAACACAGAAAAACGCTTGTCATTGCAAATCCTTTTTCCTGCAGTTACAAGGTATAAGGCAATCGTAGAGAAGGATTTACTCAGATAGGCAAGCTGTCAAAATTTTGTTCAGTAGTTCCATTAATCATATTCAAATTTCAGAAATCTATTCAAACGCAACAACAACCTTTACACGTGGCTAGATTGATTTGTAAAGTTAACATCCGCATTTTAACAAAGGTAAAACTATCTAAATCAAAGCTAATAATACTGATTTGGCTTTCTGGGAATTGAGACGTCTTTACAAGATTTTAGGACTGAAGAACTTTCTTTATAAGAAATAAATTAAGTGAAACAAAAAATTTTGTTACAATTTAAAGTTTGAGTGAAACTTTCTGAATATTGTAGTGATTCAGATTATAGAATAGATTATAGATTTTCAGTTTCTCCAAAAAAGAACACTTTGATTATAGTAAAAATTGTAATAACGTGAAAAGAAATAATGATAATAAATTTTTCTAAGCATTGTTTCCTTAAAATTTATGTTTAACTAACCATTGGTGTAAAAAAATAA